ATGTCAAAGATGTTTTTGGAAAGTTCTTAAAATATTGTGCAATGTCACCAGAAATGGCTTTCCGGACCGGTCGTTCTTGTCGTGCGGCTCAAATGGCTACGCGGGATCCCAGAGTAATGGCAAATAGCTTCTTGCTCAGAGCATGGGCAGGTATTTTAGGCACAGGCCTCGAATCTAGTCACTCCATAAGTTTGGGCTGTCGTGTCGACACAAAATAAATTATGGTGCCTCTCCAGAAGTGTGGTTTTACGATGACTCAAGACAGGAGCGAAATATTAGGGACGATGGTGGTCTGCGCTTTAAGCAAGCATCTATTATTCAACTGTGAGGTGGCGTGGAATCTTTGAGAAGCGAGTAGTAAATACATTAGCGACACATGCCCACAGCGTGGTGTCGTAGGAGCTCTCAAGAGAGGATTTGCTTATCGTTCACATTTGCTGAGCGTCAATGACCTCGCTGTACGCGCATATAATACGCTAGATTGCCGCAGGTTACACTGGTGCTTGCTTTTACTTCGAATTTATTTGCCCTACAACGGGGACGCAAGAGAAACTGTAGAGTGACACGTGAGCCCGTGCCATAAGGCTGCTTTTAAGAAAACTAGTGCGCGTGGGGGTTCCTCGTCACGTGCAAGTTGCGTCAATCAGCGGGCTATATTCGCGTGGACATACTACAGGTGAGATAAGGCGATAAGTCTGCGGCACGAAAACACACCCTTGAACGGAAAGAATTCCTGCATGACCCCGCGCAGATAACGAACAGTCCTTGCGACACCGGTGGCGCCACTGGCGCAAGCCCCTTGAATGAAGGGAGGCATCGGGCTCACGTTCGGGCACTGTGCTCCTCCACTTCCCAGTTGCCCCTCGAATGCGCGCTGCCGATACGTTGTCAGCCAAGTCGCGTGCCCTGGGCAGGCCGGCTACTAGATAACGGAGCCGTGCGTTCGGTGCATGTCCCCACTTCCTTTCTTTTTTTTTTCATTTATTATTGCTGCGTTGTAGCACCTACGACCGCACATCTTCGGTGCAGTCGACCGTTTGTCGTGTTAATGCTGGGCAGCGGTGGTGTAGCCATAATTATTTATTTGAGAGGGGGGATATCAATCATACTTTGTGTGTTCGTGCACGTGTTTGCATGCGTGCGCTTGTATGTACACAGGTAAAATTGAAAATTTTTGGAAAGGAGTGGGGCGGGGAGAGAGTGCCTTCCTAAGCTACGCCAGTTCTGCAAAGTAGCAATATCGACAGGGCGTACGACGAGAACGGTTACTGATCCAATTCAATAATGAAATTGTAGTCTAGCGGTGCGAGAAGAGACAAAGAGAAAACATGAAGGTCAATGGCAAGGAGGTCGACCACTCAAGTTTCAGATTTGCTACCCAAAACCTGGGGTAAGGAAGTGCATTAACATCGCTCTTCGTCTTTGGATATTCAAAGAGAATAGATTATCAGAAAAAATAAAAGTGAGCGTATTGAAGCCTGGTGAACAAACTTTAAAGAACTTTACAGAGACGCAGTGAAATTGGAGAAGGTGCAAGAGATTTCTAAAATCCCTCCACATTTCCAGCTACCTCCTAAATATCCGAGCTGTGCGAAAACTGATATGCGAAAAGGAACGATATTTCCTTCTCGTAGTAAGTTTTAACTTCCCACCTTTTCATTTATTCTGCCCTTAAATAAAATCTTTGATACAGGGAAATATACAGGATTTTGTTTGCGTGAAAATCATCACCCTGTAGTTTCTGCGAGACTAGGAGATTTCAACGTTATCAATTTTTCTCGCGCTAACTGTCAAAATCAACTGAACACAGTTGAGGAAGATGTAGAAAGCACATCAGCGCAAACTATCAGCTGTTCAATTGAACAAGGTAAATATAGATTGAACACACGGATGCGCAGTGATGCATATATGATACCAATGCCATCTACCTTCGTTCATTAGCTTAATTTCCTTTATCTGAGCGCTAACGATGGACAACGTACGCATACACACGTGGCCCCTGCTGCCGTTTTTAGAGCGTATAGAATTAGTTCGATGACCTCCCTTTTTGTCTGCTTGCTTGACCTCAGGCCCAATTTCGGTTTCTTCAAATACAGGAATGCATGAGCACATGCTGGATAAACAGAAATTGTGCCCAGGTCGATCAAGCAGGCGGATATATATATATATATATAATATATATATATATATATATATATATATATATATATATATATATATATATATATATATATAATATGTATGTTGTTCACCACTAGACTAAGATACTCTGCTGCTGACCGCAGGTAGTGCGATCAAATCCCGGTTGCAGCGGCCTGCGTTTTCGATGGAGGCGAGAATGTTGTAGGCCCGTGTGCTCAGATTTCGGTGCACATTAACGAACCTCGATTGATTGATTTGTGGGGTTTAACGTCCCAAAACCACCATATGATTATGAGAGACGTCGTAGTGGAGGACTCCGGAAATTTTGACCACCTGGGGTTCTTTAACACATTAACGAACCCGAGGTGATTTTAATTTCTTGAACCCTCCAACACGGCGTCTCTCATAATCATATGATGGTTTTGGGGCGTTAAATAAACCCCACATATCAATCAATCAATCAATCAATCAATTGATCAATCAATCAGTCAATCAATCCATTTTAAACAGCTCGTAGTATTTGTTTTGTGCGTCTTTTTTGCTGTGTTGGCTTCTATTTTGTGGGTTCGTGAAAGAAAAGTGGACAATGTTTGACCAAATAGCCCATTGTAAAGTTTTTCTTTGGATATATACTGTTTGCAGGAGCGGAACAAACAAATCACGCTGTCTGTGTTTTATTTTTGTATAAAAAGAAACAAGCTTGAGCCGCAGCAGAAAAAGTCGGAGAAATGCTTGTAATCATCAAGGCAATTCGAGCGAATGCCGACAGTCTTATCGTCCCTTGTTCCTTATCACGTGTAGTCTTACGCGTTGCCTGTTCCTGTTGTCACAGGATTTCTTTGGTGGGCGTGTTTCCGGCTAACCTTCCAGGATGTGCTACGTTGAATGTGTTCGTAAGTTTTTTTTTTGTCCGAAACGACGCGTTCGTGTAGCCACATGTTGGGCTGTATGCGTTGCTGCTACGCCTCGCCTTCAAATCCTGTAGCCACCGGTATTCCCGCTGTGCTCACTGCACGTGCATTGACATGTCGTTTCCTTTCCTGGCCGAGTAGAGATTGTGCTCTTTCAGGCGTGACTCATTGGTGGCGGTAGTGGGGGTCGTCGAGGGCGCGCTCGGCTTCGCATGTTGCAATTCCTGGCGTCACACAGGATGACGTCAGCTCGCGATAGCAGCAATGCGCTCGCTTGCACCGCACGGACTGCCATCGCCTGGAAACTTGTACCGGGAGTAGTTGTGACAGCCGTGCCAGCGCCATATCTTGCTCTGCTCAAGAGCGCCCTCGTGAGAGCTCGTGCTATTGCAGCTGTAAGTAGATATTGTAATCTTTGTGATTAGTTGCGAGCGCAGACCTGTTTTTGTTGTAAGGCGCGTGAACGACTGCGGCACTTTTAGAGTCGTTTGTCGCGCGTCAGCTCTTGCTCGATCAGACGCGCTGCGCGGCCTCCTGTCATAGTGGTGCTTTAGAAGCAGCACTTCCCTCTTGGCAATTTCCACGGAGCAGTGTCGTTTCGTTTTTCTTTTTGGTATTTGGGCACTGATATAAGTATTGTGCGGCCATATTTGCGTGTAGGCGTTAACTTTAGTGCGTTGTGTTTGCACGGATTTCACAGTCATGCTGTAATGAAAAATACCCCCCCCCCTTTGCCTTATTTCTTTGTTTTACTCCGGCGCTGAAAATGCCACTCATCGCCAGATCTCCTTTCATAAGCGTGTGAAATTTCATCATTCTCTTTTTGGCATCCTGTTTACTGCTGCTGCTGCTCTTATACATTGATGTGCATAAGGTGCAGCTCCTGTTCGCTGGGTATTAAATAAGGGACACTAAAATTGGTCTTGTATATCTCTAAACAAGTGCATACATTTTGACCAACATATTGGTTTGCAACAAAAGCAGAATCTCGAACTTGCTGAATTTTGCTGCCACTGCCGGGTGGCATGAAACAAATCGGAAAAAAATTACGAGAAGGTTTACGAAATAAAAAGAACAAAAGTGGCTTCTGATCATTTATTTCGCCGTTTTTATTTCTACAAGGAACAGACACAGTGGTGTAGGTTTCGCTTACAAAACCATGGTTTAGCTTCACTGGAGGCAAGCGGGCTGTTGTTCTATACTGCGGCTGCCTGCCAACATGAACACAAAATCTATCTTCAAAGTGAAATAATGGGCAAGTGTGAAATAATGGGCAGGGTTGCGTAAGCTTCATTTCTCTTTATTGTGTTTTTTTTCTAGCGCTTGTGAACAGCCCATACCAGTGATAGCATATGGGTGAAACCCGGCTCATGAAAAACTTAAGGATTTCTTTTTGTATTCAGTTAGTCAGCATGAAAGTGATTTATGTTGTAATTTACTTTTAAATGTAGCCTGTGCTACGTCAACGCGAATGTGGCAGGCAGGTTTTGGCATTCTTCATTGCCAGGCTGCATCGACAAATGCCCCGTTAAAGAACGCTTCCGTTTTTGCTCTCTGTTTCATACTGTATATCAGAAGACAATGATTCTTTTTCGAGCACTTATTCTGCATGTTTTTTTCTCTCGGCGTCTGCTAAGTTTCAAGGTTACTCAAGGTTGACTTTACAATGACTGACTTGCTTCATTTGATGTCAAAAATTTGATAAGTCATGTCATCGCTGTTTTTAACTTCTAGAAACAATAACAATAATAATTTTTCGGGATGTTTACAAGGACACCATTAGTTGTGACTCTGTAGTTCATAGCTGGATATTGTTTAAGTGTTGGCAGAGGACTCAATCGTAGTTCAAACAGCTTACAAGTTGAAAAAAAATGGACGTGGGTTCAGACTATATTTATGGGCGCGCCGTAAGGGTCCTGACCGTGTCGCCTTTGTTCTCTGCTGCAGCACATGAGAATGTCGACCGACACAACCCTGGTGGAAAAGTTCGAAGGCTGCCTAGTGGGCGCGCTGGTGGGCGACTGCATGGGCGCCCCCTTCGAAACAGATTTCACGGGAAGTCATTTTCCAAACCAGCAGACCTTCTTCCAAAACCTGCTGAAACACACCGTAGTGCCTGGTCCCAGTGCTGGCCGCAACTTTCGCCCTTCTAAGGGTAAGTTACTAGTAGTATTGTACTTAATTTCATCAACTGCAGACTTCAGCTAGAGTGCGTGAAGAATAAAACAAAAAAATAGGATAGTGTACAGCCACAGTGCCGAGCAGTGAAAAACAATTCGTAAAGAAATCGCATTAAAAAAAGGAGGTGGGGAACGTTGAAGAATTCCTAAAAGAATGGTTACAGTGAAGGCACAAGAAAGCAGGACGGGCACAGACTTTCTCAAATACATTTCACATAGCCGTTAAAAACGTATAAAAGCGCACGGCCAAAGTTTCCCCAAAGAAATTACTAGTTAACGTTAGAGCACTATAGCTATTAGCTCATCACGCTGATTGTGAAACATGGCCAAACCGTAATACAGCATTTTCTGCGTTATAGCAGTAGGTGCCCATTTCAACAAAAACTCTGAAATTCCTGTTCATGTTCTGCAGCCTTTTTCATTTGGTGAGTAATTTAAAATCAGCGCTCCTACGATTCGCCAACATCTCTATGCCGACCAAACGAACGAAAGCGAGTAACGCTCATGACCTTTTTATGTGGTGCATACTCTCCACAAAATGAAATATCGCAGCCCGTTCGTAAAACACTACAATGCTTTCGTTTTACAGTTCATCCAGGCCGTGGCGAATACCACTACACCGACGACACAGCGATGACGATGTGCTTGGCCAAGTCATTACTTACCAAGCGCCGCTTCGATGCCTTTGATGTGGCGAAGAGGTGACTTTCTTTTGTCACTTATAGATTAAACACAGGGCCAAGATGTTGCTTTTGCACCTTTCAGAAACGCAATCTTCGCGTACAAGCTACTTTCAAAAGTTATTTACGTGGCGGCTTCGTAATCGACGCTTCAACCGGTTCCTGAACACGCTGTTTCCATCCGGGCACGTTGCATACATGACTATGCCGAGTAGACTCCAACAATTCAGTACTTCAGAGTATAACATAAGGCCTCGCTTTTTGTAGTGTAGTGGGCTCCAAGTGTTTGTGTTACTTGAATATACTTGTTGTCGTGAATATACCACGCACTCTAGCCAGCCAAGCGAAAACATAGACAGTTTTCTATTAACATTTTTTCATTCCATACCTCTACAGTACTTGCTTGCAGCCCGTCTAAATAAGACTCAGCTCTGCGTCCCGGTGTGCAACTTAGTCGTTCGTGGTATTATTTGGTACTAAAAGACCGCATACGAATTACCTGTCGTCTGTTTCAGATTCACAACTGAGTATTTCGAGAACGAGGCACTTGTCGGCGAGTACGGAAACGCCGTTCGCGACGTGTTTCGCAAGCTGAAAAACAACAACTACGAGGATCCATACAGGCCTGGCCAGGAACAGTTTGGCGGACGAGGCTCGTATGGCAACGGCGCTGCAATGCGCGTGGCACCAGTGGCTTTGTTCTTCATGGACGACTTGGAGAAGATGGTCGAGGTGAGCTACCTGCAGGCGTCTCACTCTTCTCACCTTGCGTGCACGCATAAACGGCCCGTGCATGCAGAACAACGCTGTCTTTCACTCAGTCGAATTTAAGCAACACTCATGTCATTATGAGCTCACAGTCATCTTCATTTTCGTAGGAAACGACCACCTCGAATGCGCGGATGTTTTGCGTTTTGACCTGACTTGTGCGCATGATTGACATGAACTACCGTAGTCTATCTTCCTCATACCCCCTCTAAATCTGTATGGTAAATTACTGTAGAAGATATAGTCACCATCCGGGTGGTTTTTTTTCCACCCCCTCTGCGTTGTCCTCTCGACAGCAGATACAGCTGTTATCGAGTGCGGCACGCATGTGGTTTGTAAATATGAAGAGAGATATGCGCGTATACAAAGTACATTTAAATAATACGCAGCTGAAAAGGAAGCTCATCTCGGTACGGGGTTCCCCCTTTTGCGAGTCCGATGTGCGCAGCACCCTTGTGATGCTGTACGCGCACTTGGAGAGGATGGTATACCGGGGGGTGTAGACGAAGGGGAAGCCTCCCCGGGTCAGACATGGGCCAGACGTTCTATGGCTGAAACTGACTTAACTGATTCTTCAGGCTCGCCCCGCCACGGTGGTCTAGTGGCTAAGGTACTCGGCTGCTGACCCGCAGGTCGCGGGTTCGTATCCCGGCTGCGGCGGCTGTATTTCCGATGGAGGCGGAAATGTCGAGGCCCGTGTGCTCAGATTTGGGTGCACGTTAAAGAACCCCAGGTGGTCAAAATTTCCGGAGCCCTCCACTACGGCGTGTCTCATAATCATATGGTGGTTTTGGGACGTTAAACCCCACAAATCAATCAATCAATCGATTCTTCAGGCTCAGCTGAGCCTATGCCGCCAGGAGTACTCTCCCTAATGCACGCTCCGAAGAGCGGCGCAGCAAGACTGGACGACACTGTCAGAAACCGTCCTGCGTTCGTCCTTTCCCATGTGCCACAAAGTCAAAGAGCTTTCCCATGTGCCACAGATTTAGAAGCTATCACATTTAACTTTAATCTTGTAAATTATTCTTGTTTAACCCCTATTTTGGTTAACAAGTTTGTCCTACAATTTTACTGTGAGATATAAATACGGACGTTGTGAAACTGCTATGGTAGGTTAATCTTCAGAAGAACAGGCACTCATTAGGTTTTCTGACTAAGGATCAACGGCAGAAGTAACATTCATTATTTTTTGGCAGTAGTAAAGTAACGCGTTAATTTTTTTCATGGGTAACGTGTTCCTTTTGCATTAGCGTAATAAGTAACGTACTTAGTAACATTTTTTTCAGTATCGCATACAAAATTGATGAGGATGTTATTAACCTGTACTCCTTCCCCGTTTTTTTCACATAATGTCCCCAGTTAATCTACACCAGTTCATTACAGGCTCAAAAAAGTAACCATCGCTTTCTTTCTACTGCAATGAGATGAGCACTCGCTTAAGCGTGTAGCAGAGGTGTACGCTAATTTAATCAACCTGTTGTCAATTACAGGTGGCGAGAAACCAGGCGAAGATCACGCACAGCAACAAAATCGGCTACAACGCGGCCATTATGCAGTGCATGGCTGTGTATCTTGCACTGAACAGTGATCCAAAGACGCCGCTAGACTCTATGGTCTACTTAGATCACCTCATAGCTCTCACGGACAAGCTCGAAGAGGCCGTTGACGGATTCAAGTAAGTGAAGTATATTTTCCTGTAACGCCGCTTGAAGCGTTTCTTGGTTGCAGATAATCCTAAACTTTTATCTCGACGCCAGTTTTTGTATAACGTTTCGAAAACATTTCTTTCTTTCTTTCTTTCTTTCTTTCTTTCTTTCTTTCTTTCTTTCTTTCTTTCTTTCTTTCTTTCTTTCTTTCTTTCTTTCCTTTTTTCTTTCTTTCTTTCTTTCTTTCTTTTTTTGTTAGTTAGTTTTTAACAACACTTACAAAACTGTCCAAGGAGGCACGGCAAAAGGTAAACATTGCCTGACTGGGCCGTGCCACCCATACAGCAGTAGCAGGCGAAAGACATTCAAAAATATGAAAGAGTACATAGAAATCAAATACTACATCTCTGATCAATATTACACAATCATATAGCAAAAAAGAGAAGAAAACATAAGTGCAATTAAAAAAAATGCACACACTATTCTCGAGCAGAAAAAGAAAATAGCATTATACTCATCTACACACACAAAAAAAAGCTAGGAACAACTTGTAGGGCTCGCAATCCACATGTGGGGAGAGAAAAAGAAAAGTCAACAATACATAACATTCATACAGAACCATAGTATTCTTTTATTTGCATTGAAAAATTTTATAATTGTTCCTAATAAACTAAGAAATAAAGAAAGTACGTCGCTTCCTGCGCGTCATGCCTGCACCAAAAACGTTCCACATCACTTCCCGCGGGACCATTGCCACCACTGCCGTGCCCGTCCACTCCCTTTGAATTTGTGCGCATAGACTTATACGGACCTCTTCCACTTATGCCAGCCGGTCACCGTTGGATTGTCACTGCCGTGGACCACCTTACTCGCTACGCTGAGACGGCAGCTTTTCTGTCTGGTGCTACCTCTGAAGTCAGATTTTTTTCTTCGCACCATTATTTTACGACATGGCACACCACGTGTGTTTCTTAGTGACCATGGCAAGACATTTTTTTCACATGTCCTTGCTGTAGTCCTCCAGGCCTCTAACACCATCCACAAAACCACATCAGCGTATTACCCAGAAACTAATGGTCTGACTGAGCGTTTTCACTGAACTTTGTCCGACATTATCTCTATGTACGTTCAACCGGATCACAAAAACTGGGACACTATACTTCCTTTCATCACGTTCGCATATATACTGTCATACAGCGTACAACGAACTACAGCCCCTTTTTTCTCGTGTATAGCCATGTAGCGACTTTTTGTCCACATCTCCCGTTTCATCTTCATCTCTCCCGGAAGAGTTCGCCGCTCACGTCGCCTGCTGCCATGAAATCGCCCGCGCCAACACTGCTACCATTCAGGACAAGAGAAAAATTGACATTGATGCAAAGCGTCGAGTTGTTCTGTTCGGACCAGGCGATGAAGTCCTTTTGTGGACACCTGTTCGTGCACCTGAGCTCTGCGAAAAATTCCTTCACCGACATCTCGGTCCATACACTGTCCTGGAACGAACACTCGAAGTCAACTATCGCGTTGCTTCTGTCAACGTGGCACCTGATCATCATCGCCGCCTCACCAAGATCACCCACGTCTCTCGACTGAATCCATATATTCGGCGTTCCAACCCTTTCTAACTTGCTGCCATCTTTCGCGAAGGGGGAAAATAGTGTGAGCGCTGACTATGTACTTCATCTTCATCTGTATGACCAGGAACGGATATCTAAAACCCATTACCCTTCTTTTTCATGTGTGTGTTTTACCCATAGTGTCACACACTTCGGGTGAGGCCCCGCCGATCTAACATCGACGTGCGGCAGACTCAAAGGCTTCCACTTTACGCTTCGGCCTGCGACGCCTGAAGGGCTCGAAGTGGCACATCTCAAATTTATTTGCAGGTCAGTCAACCCGTACGGGATTGCACGTGTGGTGATGTATGGGCCTGACCGACGTACTCATAAAGCAGACACGGACGTTTGATTAAACACAAACAAGCATTTAATTAAAACAAGGGCAATAGACAGAAGATTACAAAAGTTAAGAGGAAAGAAGAAAAGTTCGCGCGATGGAAAAGAACAGCTAAAAACAAGCTATTCTCCGAAAGAACATCACAACAGGTACAGACAAAACACAAATAGGTGGAATGTTAATAAAATAACATGATGAAACAACAAGAGATACGAATAAAATTTACGAGAAAAAGTTCAGGCTCGCGCTTCTGAACGTCTACATGCGATGCAGCACACACAACTACAATTACTGAAAGGCTGGGTATAATAAAATAACAGTTGAAGAAAAAGCCCCAATAAAAAGTTGCTTACGGACCAGGCCAGCTCTTGGTACACGTAGGGGAGTTGACGGGATGCCGCTGAAGATCTCACCAGCTTAGTAGACGACGTGGGTGCCCGGTAATGCAGCCGTCTCAATACGTTGCGCGCGTACCTCCATGATCATCGCCTACGCGAGCCTCGCGACACCGATGACCGCGCTTTCGCTGGTTGCACGTCAACTGCCCATTCCGACGCAGTCCAAACTTTTTCGCGGCGTACGCGTGCTCCCATCCCATCTGGAGGTCATTTGCTTTTTCTAGAACACATGTGTGCCCCTCTCGGTACAGGTGTAGGGAAAACGTGGCGGTGCCACCGCTGGGTCGTTAATCCCCGGATGTCGTCTTCCCAACACAAAAGCGCCCTTCTTTGAACGATTGGGCACGTAAGCGAGACGAGAACTGCCATCGTTTCTGACACATGGCTTGCATTCAACGTCTTGTAAACTGCTGAAATTGAAGCACTTTCTGAAGTCACACATTTTGTTCGTTTAATTATAGATTCTACCTCTTTTCTTGTACTTATATTCGTTTCCATTATTTTTCTTTTTCGTCTCTCTATATAAGCCCCACCCCAAGTTCCCCAGTTTAGGGTAGCCCAACAATGTTTTTCTCGTTAGCCTGCCTGCCTTTCAGTTTTATTGCTTCAACTGTCCGTGAGAACTTCCGGGCGGCTGTATAGTAATCATGTATAAAGCAGGAGTTAGTTTAATACATGTGTACATAACGGTGCATTCTATACACGCTACAGGACATTACAGGACAATTATTACGTAAACGCTGAAATAGTGTGGGCATTCACGTGCTTTCCTTCTGGTATTCTTTTCTACAGACCTTTGGTATTCAAGTTGATGCACATAAAGAAGATTTTATCCAATCCTGAGCTTGATCCTTCACCAGCTGAAGTGGCCAAAATGCTTGGAAACGACATCACAGCGCAAGGATCTGTGCCCACCGCAATCTACAGCTTTTTGAGATCACAAAGACCCTTGAAAGAATTCGAGGTAAGAATTCTTCAACTGGTGCCACTGTTGTTTTACCATGTTCTTTAAGGCATTGCCTTTCTTAGTGGGTCTTGACAGTAACGTAAAGTTGTCTCCATGGTTTCGGCCCCATACTTCCGCCCATTATACACTTTCAACTGCGGCATGGAACCGAACTGCCTGTGCCCATTACGTGTAAGAGGGACACAATGGTATTTGATTAAATAAAAGCAGAATGTCAGGATGTCACCTAGAAAGGCGTCTCGTTGTTTACCTTACACTGCGGAGGGAAAAGGGAAACGAGAGAGAAGGAGGGAAGGAAACGTGGGGTGAATTCGCGCGCGAGAGGCACCACTCAGTCGACAGAGTTCACAATGCCCGTGCAGTAACTTCAAGTGTATAATTAGCAGCTGATATTGACATTACATACAGCCTTAACGCGGCGTCCTATGGACTGCTCAATTAGCTAAGTATACGTAAATGTGTGCCTGTCCTTACTTAGCGATTTCTTCGGTGTAGAAGAATGAGGAAAGGCTGTGCTAGTTGCTGCGGCACGATTACGAAGGTATTGTTTGAGGAACACGCATGTTGTGCTTTAGGCTAGATGAGGCGCTACTTGAGTATAGACACTGGAATGCATCATCAGGGGGCGGGCAAGTAAGTCATAAGACCGCCATTGATGTTTTGTCGAGAACACTCGCCTCCATTATGTTTACCGAGTTTTCAAATTCCGTATATTTGATGCCTCCTGAGTAGTGAATTACTACAAACTACCACATGGGTGCAGGGCTTGCATATAGCATGCTGTATGTGCTTTTTGTGTGTGTGTGCATAAGTGTGCGTCTTATTCACAATATTTTAGTCATTGTGGTGGCTACAAAAAGTTCGCTAACTTGAATTCTTTGAGTTCCACAAAAACGCCGTCATCACGGCATCCAAGAGGTCCAGCTTCATGCTATCCATTTTTTTTTTTTAGTCACGACGAGAAATAACGAGAAATGTGAACGTTCTAAAATATTACGTTAGCGTGTATTGTGCGAGTCCGCCCTTTGGCTGCGCAGGAAAATGTCTGGCTTTGGGGCGATAAGTTCCCTTTTGTGCCATTTTTTGTAACCTCAAGTTCTCTTTTATTGTTTTTTTTTACGCAGCACGAGAGTTCATTCGTGCGCTGCCTGTACTTCGCGGTGGCGTGCGGCGGGGACGCAGACACCATCGCTTCCATGGCATGCAGCATATCAGGCGCCTTCCATGGCATATCGGCCATACCGAGCGTGCTGCAACGCCAGTGCCAGGCTGTCGACGAAGTGACGCGGATAGCAGACTGTTTAGAAGAAGCGGTGTCCAAGTGACGCTCACTGCAGCGGCCCCGACCGCCACCACTTATTTTCGTATTGAACGCGCGTCGAGCAGCAAGCAGTCCTCCGCTTGGCAGCGGCCCGGGCGTTCCACGCCTGCCGTGCCGGCATAGTCGCTCTTCGCGAAGTTTGCTTTGATCTGGTTGTACAAAGGATGAACGGAGGAGTAACGAGTTTTATTAATGTGCTGTATTTTGTTGCAATCTGTGCCCATATAAAGCGTAATATGTGGATGCTTGGCCTTGCGCTGAATAAACAAGTTGAGACGAATTTGTCTTCCGATGTTTCTTGTTTGTTTGTTTGCTACACCTCTGTTCAGCCGTGACTCGCGGTCACTGAGCGTGAGATCTGACGTTCAACAACGTTGGATCCAAACGAAGCAAAGTACACGTCACACAAAACCTCAAAGGAAGTCGATAATATTTCTAGTTCACAAAGTACATATTCTTCCAAAGTTTCTCAACGTATAACCAACCATCCAGAATGTTTGCAGTTTCCGTTCTGCTCCGAATTGAGATAATAGTAATTATAATGATTAAACAGTGACCTACTGGGACACAGGTTGTGTGTAACAAAAACAGAGACGATGATTTGTTGAGGGAAGAAGAGTAAGCATGACGTAGTACTCTACTTAGTAGACTATTACATCACGCTTTCTTGTTACTGGAATGTTGTCTGTTTAAGAAAATTATGGTCAAGTATGAGGAGCGGTGATGAAGATGGGCAGTACAGGGCTCATAATGCGCCGTTACGTGTTGTCTTAAGGCCAGAGATGAAATTGGGTATAGTGATATATTATATAATGATATAGGTTCAGCTAGGAGTTCAAGTTTCCGATACTAAAAGTCCCCAAACAGGCCTCAAAAAGATGATGCCAAGCTCTTCCTCCTGGTCACTAAATTTGCGATAATAAAGTAGAAGCGTGCAACAAAGCTATTCTGTGCTGCTGTTCCCATGGGGTACGCCGTGTGGCTTCTACTGGTTCACTCGTGTTTTACTTACAGATGCCCAACTTTTATTGAAGGGTCAACATCTCTATATCTTACTTTACTGACAGCACGTTTCTATATATAAAGTGAAATGTTCAATGAAGAACTTTCATGACATTCATTTTCTAAATCAATTTTTTTTCATTGCATATTCAGAGTAAATTCCAGTTCACAAAGAAATATTCAGAACATATTGCACTTGAAGCCACAAAAGGAAGCATGTCTGCATGCCACTACATGAAATGATAATGATACCTGAGCCATGGTATGTAATTTCTTCTTTAACCCACTGGGTGCAGCCTTTACATATTTAGGGACTGTCGAAAAAAAGTACAGAAAAAATATGAACCACAGAAACAAAAGCGCGTTGCAAAGGCTACACAATATAGGTAAGCGTTCTTGGTTTCCTGTCAGAGTTGTGTGTGCATGTGGCCAATTTAAAGGACAATAGGAGAAGGGAGAGATAGTTTGATAAAAAAGAAAATGCACGTTTCGTATGATGTGCCATGAAGTTTATACAGTATGCATTGACATGAAATGAAAGTGGACCAGTACTGTGAGCTTCATACGTGGCGTGCATTATTAAGCTCGGCCAACAGAAATTGGTATTCACGAGTGTGCCGCGGAATGGCATGGGTCTCCCCGGGGATGGTCGGGCGCTGCAGGAATAACGGGCCTATTCGATTACCATGAGACTGACAAAAGGACGTTGGACCTGTTCAGCCATGTCCTGTCTTGCTCACACTCGGGATCCACGCGGGTGCCGTACAAGTGATCGAGCCAGTGTTGCCTGAGCGAAAATGTCTCTACCATACAGAGCCCGCAACGTTGGGCTTCGAGGTAAGTAAGCCGAATAAGCCATTTAATTTACCGCATCACCCTGGGCCGATCTGTGAAGAAGAGCAGTATGAAAAAACTAAAAAATCGCACGCACATTGCAGCGAGGGTGAAGGATCTAGCTTATGCACCGCAAACTTGCTGCAAGGTACGAGTTGTCATAAGTATCGGGATAAGATCATAAGTATTGGGTTATGTCGTCATAAGCATTGGGATTAGAGGAAAGGAAACAATCCACAAAAATTCCCGCCGGTGGATGTGGGAATTCTTGTTCATGACGTAAAAGTAAGTAAAGAAGTTGTAAATTAGAGTGTAACAAAAAAGTAAGCATGAAAGAAGCTTAGTTATATAACTGTATGAGGCAGTCTTAATAAGGTGGCAGAATAGAATTTTCGTAGATCCAACAAGCGATAAAAATTCTGGTCAAGAGAGAAGGGGATCACAATTTTCATTGTTTGTTCTATCAGGCATCTTTGACTACGGGCTACAGGTCGGGTGAAAGTGAACGGAATCACCACCGTATAGCCCGACCATTGCATGCTTACGGCCACTCTTTTCTCGCCATCAAAATTTTGGTCACCCATCCCAGAGTGGCTGGGCTGGACGTGCCGACATGTGACATATATGGCTCTGAACGCGCTTGTGAGAGTAACACAGAGTGAATTCTCACTTGAATGAACTTCAAGGAACCCAAATACAGAGTTCACTTAACTGAAAATTCACTAAACTGAACCTTCACTGGATGCGGAACAGCATTGGGGACAGCAGAAATCAAGTCAAACGTATGAAATGCAATTTCTTTTGAATAAGAATTCGGTAAGCTTCATTTGGCTGGACGTATAGAAACAACCCCTATACATAGCCTTCATATATTAAGAGAAGGAGTTTGACTCAGTTGAGACTTCAGCAGTAATGCAGGCACTACAAAATCAGAGCATCGAAGAACCCTACATACTGGAAGAAATCGAGAGTGGATCCACAGCCGCCGTAGTTCTCCTTAAAGACAACGACAAAATCTGAATTAAGAAGGGTGTAAGGCAGGTACATGTGATCTCTCTAATGCTACTATTCACCACGTGTTTACAGGATATTTTTACGGACCCTAGAATGGGAAGACTTAGGGATAAGAGTTCATAGAGAGTATCTGAGTAACCGGTGATTCGCTGATGACGTCGCCTTAATGAGTAACTACGGGGATGAATTACAGCTAGTGAGTACTGAACTGGGCACGGAAATCAGAAGAGTAAGTTTGAAATAGTTATGCAGAAAAATAAAGTAATGTGCAACACTCTCGGCAGAAAAGAGCACTGCGATAGGTGCAGAGACGCTGCAAGTTGTAAAGGAATATGTCTACTTGTGGCAAGTAGTAATAGCGCAGCCGAACCATAAGAGTGAAATAACTAGAATATTAAGGATTGCGTGGATAACATTCGGCAAACATTGTCAAATCATGAATGGCAATCTGTCACTAACCCGCAAGCGGAAGGTATATAACAGCTGCATCTTGCCAGTACTTGCCTACAGAGAAGAAACCTGGAGGCTTACAAAAAGGGTTCAGCTTAAACTGAGGACGACGCAGTGAGTGGTGGGAAGGAAAATGAGAGGTGTAACCTGAAGGAACAAGAATAGAGCAGAGTGGGTCAGGGAGCAAAGTGTGGTTAAGAATATTAAAATTAAAATCAAGAAGAAGAAATGGACATGGGCCGGGAAGCATAACCGCTGGTCTTTAATGGTAACTGACTGGATTCCCAGAGAAGGTGAATGGGTTAGGGGGGAAAAGAAAATTAGGTGGGCCGATGAGATTATAAAGTTGGCAGGTATAACGTGTCAGCAGAAAACACAAGACCGGGTTGATTGGCGGATCATGAGGAAGGCCTTTGCCCTGCAGTTGGCGTAGTCAGGCTGATGATAATATTGATGGACTGGAGCTTCTAAAGAGCAAGAAGCGACAAAGCTGTCCAGAGAGCCTACGTATCTGTGCACTGACTCTGATTCAGTTTTTTGCTGTAACACGAAGTCTCGCAACTTTCTAATGTATTCTACAGCCTCGTCTACATCGTTTGAATCTGCCTCAGCCATTATAACTTCGTCGTCGTGCTCTTATTTTTTCATTTTCAGGTGAACATAGCAAACAATTGTAAAATCTGACAGCTCTGCGCATGGTACTGAAGCACACGTTGCTCAATTTAGATTTCCGCACGGCCACTTTGCCACGTTGGCGCTGCGTGCACCGGCGATGTTGCACCACCGATAATATATGGGTCACTTGTGGGTAGAACGCATTGGCTACGCCAGTGCTGCAGAGCACAAAAATTCGTCGAATTGCTCTAAAAATGAACACGGGTCCGCAGAGAAAGGTCGCTCAACCTATGAATTCACTGTTATTACATTAGATTAACTGAAATGTTTTTGTTGGGAATGCATGGACAAAGCACCAGGGATTATCTAAAAGTTCATTATTTTGAAATATTCATTAAACCGACGTTCTCACCAGTTAGATTTCAATCCCTTATGGCATGTTGGATATTCCATGCAATTTCATCACCGCCGAAGCTATTGGGTAGCATATGTTTGCCAGGATCTATGATGGGGACTTTTCTCTTGTTTCAAGGAGCAAGCTATTCGAAAAAAAAAAGTGCGAATGTCCTACGCCTTCAAAACTCAGGTTGGTTTCGACGTCCTCGGCGTATATGATTGCAAAGGTGATTGTGCGCAATGAATACTTTCCAAAGTGCCTGCTCAAGCAAGGCTTTGATTACCTTCTTGAGACAGTAAATGTCCGGTTTGATCGGTTATTTTTCGCGTGGCCCAAGCGTGTACCCGAGTAAGCGCGCCTCAGTTTCAACTCCTAAGCACGCACAGATATGTTTTGCGTATGTCTGATTTTCTGCCCTTTCAATTGTTAGTCAACGCTTGTGCTGCGTGTTTGCTTTTTCTTATGTCGAAGCTCACGAATCCAGTGGCCGTATAACGAACTGCTATTCCGTGTTCCTTTTTCCGTTTTCGCCATTGGCGCTCCCTGATTGGTCGTTCAACCTGTCAGTCATGTGACGAGTCATAAGCACAAATTGTGATGCATTAAAAGTTCAAGCGTGCGCTCATTATGCAAACAATAAATGCTCTCTGATTGGTCGTTCAACCTGTCTATCAAGTGGCGATTCGGAAGCCAAAATTGAGGTTACGTCAAAATGACAAGTACATGCTTATTATAGAAAAATTAACGGAATCGGTTCCGCGCTACGGCGGAACAGCCAACGAGTGGGCCTGTCACAGATGGAATAGGAAAAATGGCGGTGCCGGCTGAGTCAGCGACCTTCACTGTAACATTTAGCTACATGAACGTATAGTATACAACAAGCGCTGGAGGCATGTTGAGGTCGCGTTCGACATGCCAGACGAACAGTTTGGGCGTCACTTTCGACTGCGCAGAGCAACGGCGTTGTG